TAGACAGTTTTTCCATGTTGTCGTACTGTCACTAATGAGAACTATTCCTTTTGTAGCTTTAGTTGGAAATTTATAATATTTTGATCAAGGCCTTCCTAACATGAGTTGAGTGAACCATTAACCAACATGGTTAGAGTAGAAACCCGAACGGTATGAACGCTTCATCGAGGCACATAACGAATACAACGATAGAAGTGAATCCAATCTTGAGCTTATAGCTTTCTTCGTGATTACGAGTTCAAACTTTAGTATCATTTACCAAAGATATGAATCATATTATAAAGTTTTCGATACCGTATGTCACAGATTTTTTCCAGTTACGAGGCTTAGCTTCTTGTAGTTTATATCGAAAGCTAATATCGAAGCTCCCGAACTGCTATACAATTACTGAAGTTTGTTGATTCATGTACTTAAATCTGCTTGCTTTGAATCATGAACTGGGTAGCCATTTGTGTCATAGATTAGGATTGTTCTTATGAAGAGAGTGTAAAATAGTTGTGTACATTTTGTTTATGGGAGCTTGCTGGTTTAGAACTTTGTGTTGGTTTCTGTTCAAGAGATTTTGCTGCCTTTTCTTCAGCTTTCCTTAGAAACTATAAGTAGCCAAGATTTGTGTAGGGAATATTGGCCTTATCGATTAGATTTGTGTAGCTCGGGAAGGGGAACGGAGCATTCCTTATAAGGGTGTAGAAATCTCTTCCTTATAGACACGTTTTAAAATGTTGAGGGAAAGACTGAAAGGGAAAGCTTAAAGAGAACAACATCTGCTAGCGGTGAGCTTGAACTGTTACAAATGGTATCCAAGCTATGCATTGTGCGGTGTGCTAGTGAGGACGTTGGGGCCACAAGAGAGGATGAATTGTGAGATCCCACATTGGTTGGAGAGGGAAATGAAACATTCCTTATAAGGGTGTGGAAACCTCTCCCTAGTCGATGTGTTTTAAAACCTTGAAAGAAAGCTTGAAAGGAAAAGCCTAAAGAGGACAATATCTGCTAGCAATGAGCTTGAACTGTTGCAAATGGTATCAAAGCTATACACTGTGCGGTGTGCTAGTGAGGACGTTAGGTCCCAAAGAGAGGATGAATTATGAGATCTCACATCGGTTGGAGAGGGAAATGAAGCATTCCTTACAAGGGTGTGGAAACCTCTTCCTAGCAGATGTGATTTAAAACCTTGAAAGGAAGCTCGAAAGGAAAAGCCTAAAGAGGACAATATTTGCTAGCGTTGAGCTTGAACTATTACAAATGGTATCAAAGCTATACACCGTGCGGTGTGCTAGTAAGAACGTTGGGCCCCCTAAGAGAGGATGAATTATGAGATCCCACATCGGTTGGAGAGGGAAATGAAACATTCCTTACAAGGGTGTGGAAACCTCTCCCTAGTAGTTGTGTTTAAAACCTTGAAATGAAGCCCGGAAGGGAAAGCCTAAAGAGGACAACATTTGCTAGCGGTGGGCTTAAGCCGTTACAAAAGGATTAATACGACATACTGTTGACTAGCACTCCCAATCCTCTTTATGGATATATAAATGGCAAACTTTAAGGGAGTTTCTTCCCGACATTAAAGGAAACTCTCAACTTAGGGACAAGAACGAGAACCATCCTCAATTAATGACCCCCAAGTGAAAACACCCTAAAGTACAAGCTCACCGCTAGTAAGTATTGTCCTCTTTGGACTTTTCCTTTCTGTCCTCTGAATGTTTTTAAAATGTGTTTATTAGGGAGAGGTTTTCACACTGTTCTCCTTCACAACCGAGATGGGATCTCACAAGTAGTAACATGTTCGAGCCCACAAACACTAAGCAACAAAAAGGCGAACCATTTGTTGATTTCATAAATCATTGGAGGTTCACAAGTTTTGCTTGCAAAGATCGACTCACTTAATTATCTACCGTGGAGATGTGCATTCATGACATACATCGAAGACTTTTGTACACCCGCCAAGTTATAAAACATTGTACCTTTGAAAAGCAACCAACTCGAACACAAATGACCTAAAAAGAACTTTATTCGAGAAAATTCCATCTATGTGCGACGATTCAAAAGGAGTTGAATAAATGACTAATGCATTCAATCACATCAATCAAGCTTTCAATTACTCGACTTTTAGCCTTTCGAAGACTAAACGTCCCTACGTGGAGAAAAGTATAGAAGGTTCATTTTTTGAAGGAATTTAATTAAATTATTGTCAAATGATTCACTTAAAAACAAAGAAGTAGTCTTATTATAAAAATTCTCAAATTTACATCAACCAATAGAAAATTCACACGTGTAATAAAATATTATAAAATAAATAAAATCTTATTATAAATCTAATGAATACGAAGACCAAGAAACCCTAGCAAAAATTTAGATTAATTAACGCCGCGGCGGCTAAAACACCAAGGCAACGGCGACGGCGAGAAGAGCTGCGGAGAAGGCAGAGGCTCGGACCGATGGGGCGGCGCTGGGAGGCGGTGGAGCGGTTGCTGGAGATGGAGTTGAAGGCACGGTGTCAGATGAGGGCGGAGGAGTGGTGGCGTCACTGCCGGCGACGTTGACGGCTAGCTTCTGGCCGATGTTGCAGTGGCCGGCGACCGTGCAGATGAAGAAATGTTCGCCGGGTTCGGAGAGAGTGATTCTGACCGGCGGGTCGGTGGAAATAGAGATCGGCGATTCGCCGGTGCAACTGCCGTAATTGTCCTTCGTTACCTTCGCTACGTTGTGGGTTTGAACCACGAAGTTGAACTCTGCAAAAGATCGCCGGAGAAGATGAGCTTCTTTTTCATTTCTATTTTAATCATTAAAGTGCATAATTTAAATTGATTATAAATATATAATTTAACCAAATTTAAGATTTAAAAATTTATTTTCTAATTTACTACCCAATTTAAAATATATACATATATACATATATATATATATCTGTTTGAATGTCAAATTTTTGTCCTTACCGAGAATGTCTCCAACGACGAAGGTGTTGTCCCGAGCCCATGATTCGTAAAAGCTAGGGTTGTTAGGGACGGACCATCCCAACGAGTCTCCGACAACATATGTCATGGGTTGTCGGGCGGGAGCAGGCGACGGGACAGGTGATGACGGAGTAAAGCTAGGTGTTGGAGAAGGCGACCGATCGGAAGAGGAGGGTTCAGGGCTGATAGAGGGAGTGGGGACGGAGACAGGGACAGGAGATGGCGCTGGAGCAGATGTGGCTCTCACAGTAACGGATAACTTTTGGCCATTATTGCAATGCCCGGGAATGGTGCAGATGAAGTGACGGTTACCAGCAGAAGTGAGTGTGATCCTTACTGGACTGTTGCTCTCGGTGGAGATCGGATTGTTGCCGTTGCAGGAATCATAAGCACTTTTTGTCACTTCTGTTGCGTCGTGTCGTCCCGTTGCAAAGTTGAAAACTGCAAAATCAAATACGTTTAGCTATATATCGCCCAGATTTTTTTACAACTAATAGACCATAATCACGAAAGAAAAGCTTTAATCTCATATCTTACCAAGAATGTCACCGACCACAAAAGTCTTATTGCTAGCCCAATCAGTATAAATATTAGCATTGGGTGGGTCGATCCAACCCAACGAGTCACCGACCATGTAGGTGGCAGCGGACGAGCACCGCCACAAAGTTGCCACCACGACGAGGAGAACCACCATCCGGTTAAATCCTACGGCCATGATTTGATTTGATGTTCTCAGGTCACCCTTGTGATTAAGCTCTTTTGAGTTATAGCTTTTGGTAGAAGAAGGGGATAGTTTTTGGGTATTTATAGAGTATAGGAACTTAAACATTGGTGGAAGAAGGCCATTGGATGAAGGACACGTGTCCAAAATGGACGGATATTAAGCTGCCGCTGGACTACGCCGCGTTAGATTTTCCTTACCAAACATGTTGGTGTGAGTCTTTGACTTTTTCGCGTTGACTAGTCAAGGCTTCACATGGAGAGGTGGAAATCGTTGACTAGTCACACGCAAAATATTTCATTTTTTTTTTATATTTTATAACAAATTCCACCTCTTAATTATCAATTTGTATTTTAAAGATTGTTTCAAACTCCCAAATATATATTTTTTTAAAATAATTCGTACGATCGAGTCTGTGAATAGAATTAATATCATTATAATTGACACCAGGTTTTTTAAAAAACTAGAAGTAAAATGACGAGAACTTTGCTCAAAGTGGACCCAGCCCAAATTCCTTGGTTGGCCTCATATGAGTCGTGTGTCACTATCATACTTTCTCAATCGTGCGGCATCGTGATCTTGACACGCTCACAACCAGCCTTAAGGGGAACTCAAGCTCCATAGTCATTGGACGATCAGCAAGGTTTTTCTTCGCCAATCGAACATAAGCTTGTTCGGCCACACACAATGGTCGTGTGGGCATGTTTAATCATTGTGGCACAACGTCGCATCTAACTCAAAAACTTGATCGAGTTAGATGTTATTTAAGTCGTCAATTTTTCCAACCCTAAGTTATATGTCATTTAAGCTGTTGTGTTTCTTTACTTACTTATAGCCATATAACGCTGCTTTCTAAAACATTTCTCGTAAACGTGATTGAGGTTCGAGTATACGCCCACGTTGTCCGTGAAGTCCAAATTTTTCACGACTGATAGTGCGATTGTGACACCGAGCACCTAACTTGCTCGAGTTCATTAGCACATTATAGATCTTTATCCAATTTATTATAGGTCTAATTTTTCAAATGGGTAGGTCACCTAAATTATAATAGCATCTTCTTTTTATAACGGTAACAAATATAATTAAAATTAATTTGAAATTAAATAAAAATGACAGATTATTAATAAAATATAATTTAAGACATTTTGTAAGTCAACAAAGATTAATAAACTCATTTTTATTTAGATCCATGATTAAAAAATCAATTAAGAAAGTTTTGAGATTCAAGAACAACTTTATTAAATTCCCAATTGGGAAGAATTAAAAAAAAAAAGCATCAAAATTAAAATTAAAATTAAATAAAATACACACAAAACGAATCGAACTAATTTTTTTTTTTTTTTTTTTTTTTTTTACAAAAACAATGGCAATCTCTAGTAAATCAAAGCTACAGCAAGCGTCAATCCGGCGGAGAAGAAGACGGCGAAACCGCCGAGGGAGGTGGCGGAGTTGCGTGGCGGCGGGGCGGCTGGTGGCGTCTGAGCTGAAGGGCCATTCTCCGAGGGTGGTGGAGTGGCGGTCGGCGGTGAAGCTTTCGGCGGCGGCGACGGTTTTTTGGGTTTGTTAGAAGGTGGAGGCGCGGTGGTCGGCGGTGGAGAAGATTGTGATCGGACGGTGACGGAGAGCTTCTGGCCGGTACCGCAGTGGCCAGCGAATGAACAAATGAAGTGACGGCTACCGGCGTCGGTGAGTGTGATCCTCGCCGGACCGGATTTCGTGGAGGAGATCGGGTTGGCGGTGGCGCAGGAATCGAATGAGGCCTTAGTCACTTCCGTCACGTCGTGTTGTCCGGTGGTGAAATTAAAAACTGCAATTTAAAAATTAAAAAAAAATCCAATTAAATAAATATTGATGAAAAAAATTATTTGTTTTTTATTTTTAATTTTTAATTTTAAAGACTCACGGAGAATGTCGCCGGCGAGAAAGGTTTTGGTGGCGGCCCAATCGGAGTAAGAAGTGGGATCAGAAGGGATGTTCCAGCCGAGCGAATCGCCGACGATGTGAGTGGCGGCCGACGCCATCCGCGGCGGAGCAACCACGGCCAGCAGAAGAAACACCGCCGCGAGTATCGATTTCGCCGCCATTGTAATTGGTGGGTTTGTGTTCTCAGATCGCCGCTGTTAATTTCCTGGTTCCGAAAAGGAAGGTGGTATTTATAGAAGATAAGAGCCGTCTGATGGAGGACACGTGTCATGTAAGATGGACAGTTGATTGAGTTCATTAAATATTATAAGTTGCCGCGTGAGGAGAGTTTGGAGTCTTAGGGCTGACGTGGCATTTTATTTTATCTATTTTTTTTTTGGGAGGTGGGTTTTTTAATAGGGTGTGTGGAATCATAGCAAGTGGACTTAAACAAATAAAAAAAATTTAAAAACTTTGGGGTCATTTTTTAATATTTTGTTAAAATTTTTAAAATGGTAAAGTGAATGAGTGATACATAAATGAATCGAGATCTTGTCATCTCGATCTCCATCGACATGACCCATATGTCCTGACGCCATCTCGAGTCTTGGGGTGTTGTCCAATCTTCGTAACTCACTCGGTCATGCCATCGAGAACGAGCCTGCGTGTTGCTCATCTTATTGGGACTACTCGAACATCCATCCATCAAGGTTGTATTGAGTAAATGAGTGATACATAAATGAACCAAGATCTTGTCATCTCGATCTCCATTGACATGACCCATATGTCTTAATGCCATCCCGAGTCTTGGGGTGTCGTCGACCATCGTAACTCACTCGGTCATGCCATCGAGAACGGGCCCGCGTGTTGCTCATCTCATTGGGACTTCTCGAACATCCATCCATCCGGGTTCTATTGAGTAAATGAGTGACACCTGAGTAAATGAGTGATACATAAATGAACCAAGATCTTGTCATTTCAATCTCCATCGACATGGCCCGTATGTCTTGATGTCATCCCGAATCTTGGGGTGTCGTCAGCCATTGTAACTCACTCGATCATGCCATCGAGAACGAGCCTGCGTGTAGCTCATCTCATCGGGACTTCCAAATATCCATCCATTTGGGTTCTATCGAGGCATTAGCTCTCCCGAGCCCATGCCATGTCATTTACGGATACCGTTCCAGATAGCGGGTGTATGTAGCAACCTCCAACACGCGGGCTGGGGCGTAATATCGGCACATCCGTGCCGCCCGGTACTGTCCTTGAAAAACCCATTTCAAAGGAAGTCGCCCGAGACACTCGTCTCGGCGCGCTCACCGACGCTGTGACACACCTATGTGCCACAAGATAGCTCACTTCGGCCACAGGGTCCAGAGGTGGTGGAGAGCTATAGTAAATAACTGGGAAGTCAAATTTGATGTAACTCGACCCAACTAATACCTGAAGATTCCTTGCCTTTCTTGATTAGACCAATCAAACCCGAATTATTGGGCGTTACTTATTTTTCATAATTTTCGTGTAATATTATATTTAAAAAAAAAAGTAGGTGAGAATTTAAAATTTATAAAATAAATTTTTAGAATATAGATATTTAAAGTAAATAATTTTGGATTTATTGATGAAATTAGTGAGACAGGGGGAGGTGGCCAACTAGGAGTGGAAAGACACGACTTTTGAACAGCTGGACTTGGTCAACTTTCGAGCACAATATTAAAATAATATTAAAATATAATTAAAACCCATCATTATTTATTTTTAAATTGAGAAATTTAATAATAAAATATTAGCCTTTAATTTCCTTTCACATTTTATATTTAGAAAAGGGTTACTTTCATTTTTCTACTTTACATCACTCGAGTAACTTTTACATTTTTTTTATAATATATTTAATTTTACTGTTATTTTAATGGTCGCTGTAGCTCGATTATGATATCCGAGTAAATGAGGGATACGTGAACAAACCGAAATTAGATTCGAATGAACGAACAATTTAATAGTAAATTGAGACCACAATTACGATTAAGAATCATAAAAACTAAAAAATTAAGCATATTTGACTCGAGATAGTTCTATATTAGGTGATCTCTTAAGATTCATATTTGTTTGTGGAACGATATATTTTAAATAATTAAAAAAAATATTTTAATTAATTAAGTAATTTAAAGGGGTTTCTTAGGTTTAAAGTAATTAATTGACTTGATCACCTAAAATTTTTTTTTTTTATAATTACTTAAACCCTAAAGTCAATCTCCTATTTACATGAAAAAAAATCCAAATTAAAAATTTTGTTGACTTTTTGTTCTTAGAAAATTTGTTTGTCTAGTTACAAAATAATAATAATAAAATAAAATAAAACAATAATTTTGGTTTTTAAAAAATGGAAAATATACCAATTTAATTTTCAAAAATAAAAAATGTAAACTCAAAAATAGTTTTTTTAAAATATGATATTTAAAATTTTGCTAATCTTTGAAAGTGGCCTTTAAAATTAAAATATAAAGAAAAGAAATAATTAATAAATAAGTTTAAATTAAAAAATAAATAATAAAATTGGCTGTTGAATTAAGAATTCATCAACAAAATTTCCCAAAATTTATGACCAAATCAAATTTATTTTATTTTATTTTATTAATGATTGACTTTTATTCTTTAAAAAATTAATTTATTTTTTCCTTTCACATTAAAATATAGTTGGAAGAGCCATAATTTTCCAAATAAATAAATGAGATATTAATAGGTTTAATACCTATTTTCCCCAACCCTAATTCAAAGTCAAAAATGGCTTTTGGAAATTCCAAATGGAGGTGTTTTTTTATTAAAAAATTGTGAAATTCAAAATATTGGATTTTTTTTTTAACATTTTAGTTTAATTCATAGGTTATTGAATTTATATCTTATTCCAATAATATTCTACGAGAAAAGAAAAAAATCTTCGATAATTAAGTTAATATGGTTGAACGGGATGATAATTTAGTAGTGACGAAAACTAGTGTTTAAAGAGAATGCACCTTGCACCTCCTAGGAGCGAGAGACCTTAAAACCTTACCTGATCCCTCGTTTGATAAGCAATGATAAAAACTCCAAATATGAGCGTGTTTTACTTTGAAACAATTCTATATTAGATGGTCTCTCGAGAATTTTTTTAGGAGGTCTGTAAATGAAGACAAAACATACTTGAAGGACTCGTGTTGGTCTGTAAAGATAATTTTCATTCTTAAAAGCGAATAGTAAATAACGTGACTATGCTGCAGGGTATCAGGTATCGAATATGAACTTCGAATCCTTATCTAATTTATGGACATGGGTTGTTACAGTTATATTTATTTTTTTAAAAAAAAATATTTAAATATTGTTCTTTTAAACTTAATTCAAACAAGCTTCTTAGTCACTGTTACAACGACTTTTCATCTAACATTCTAGCAGATTTTTCATTAACATAGTAGTGTCTGGTACTCGAACATTGGCTCGAAGTCTCGAGCTACCTACTCGTTCACCTCTCTGACTCGACTTTCCTTACCTCTTTCACCAATAGCAAAGGAGTGATTAATGGCCCAAATTTTTTAGTCATCTAACATTGGTTGAAACGCTAAGAAACTTTGAAGTCATTGGAAGTAGATGATAGTGTTGGATGGATTTAGCCAAAATTTGGATGCAAGCTCATGGCTAATTGGTTTTTGTCCATTGGTTTACGTCTAGTTGTCTAATCAAAGGCTGTTGTGATATTCTACGTCGATTGGAGGGGAACAAGGTATTCCTTACAAAGGTGTGGAAACCTCTCCCTACAGACGCATTTTAAAATCATGATGTTCGATTGTGATATGTAACAGGCTAAAGTAGACAATATCTGTTAACAGTGGGCTTAATCAGACATTAGGCAATGTGTCAATGAGGACGTTCGACCCCAAGGGGGGTGGATTGTGAGATCCCACCTCGATTGGAGAAGGGAACAAATCATTCCTTATAAGAGTATGGAAACCTCCCTATATACGTGTTTTAAAATTGCAACGTCTGATGGTAATATGTAACAGGCTAAAGTGGACAATATCTGCTAGTAGTGTCGTGGGCTTGGGCGGTTACAGATGGTATCAAAGTCAAACATTGGGCAGTGTGCTAATGAGGACATTCGACCTAGAGGAGATGGATTGTAAGATCCCACATCGATTGGAGAGGGGAACGAAACTTTCCTAGGGTATGAAAACCTATCTCTAACAGACGCATTTCAAAACCATGAAACTGATAGCGATATATAACGAGTCAAAGCAGACAATATCTACTAGTGGTGGTCTTGGACTGTTATAGTGTTAGTTTAAGTATATCTACGTTTCGAAGACTTAAAAACGATGAACGACTTTTGAGTTAAGCTTACGTAAGTAAAGATTTAGAGAGGTCGAGCCCGTGTCCGATATATAAACTTGCTTACTCAAGGCTACAAATTGGTTAATCTCACTAAACACAAAGCAACCCAAGACAGTTTCAACCAAGATTATAGCAGAGATATACTCAAACTGGGACATCAGGAACTCATAAGCATATTTTGGCACTTCCATTTATGATTCAATAGCTTCATCTCAAACTCAACCTGGAGGAAAATTGGGATACATTTTATAGCAAAAGAATAAACAGCAACTGTATCATGACATGTACCAGCACAAGATTCAATGTTTTCCACCAGCTGCTGCACCTTTACCTTCACCTTCCTAACTTAAGAAACTCTATTTTCATCTCAACAATAGAAGCCGCGTCACGACCGAGACTGTTAATGAGAAAATGAGGCTTCCTGCAAGTCCTCGAGCTCGGTGATTCTGTTCACATAAGCAAGGAGAATGTGTTTGATATCGTTAAGAACGGTTATTTAGTACAAACCAAGAAAGAAGTAGGATTTGTTGAGGATTGTTGGGAGGGAGTCCCACATTAATCATGGGTTTATAAGTAACTCCATTGGTACGAGGCATTTTGGGGAAGCTAAAAGCAAAGCCACGAGAGTTTATGCTCAAAGTGGACAATATCATACCATTGTGGAGGTCGTGATTCTTAATATGGTATCAGAGTCAAGCTCTTAACTTAGCCATGTCAATAGAATCCTCAGATGTCGAACAAAGAAGTTGAGACCCTCGAAGGTGTAGTCAAAAGTGACTTAAGTGTCGAACAAAGGGTGTACTTTGTTCGAGGACTCTAGCGAAGGAGTCGAGCCTCAATTAAGGGGAGGCTGTTTGAGGGCTCCATATGCCTCAGGGGAGGCTCTATAGTGTACTTTGTTCGAAAGGAGGATTGTTGGGAAGGAGTCCCACATTGGCTAATGTAGGGAATGATCATGAGTTTATAAGTAAGCAATATATCTCCATTGATATGAGGCCTTTCGGGGAATCCAAAAGCAAAGCCACGAGAGCTTATGTTCAAAGTGGACAATATCATACCATTGTGGAGGTTGTGATTCTTAAAATGGTATCAGAGTCATACCCTTAACTTAGCCGTGTTAATAGAATCCTCAAATTTTGAACAAAGAAGTTGGGACCCTCAAGATGTAGTCAAAAGTGACTCAAGTGTCGAACAAAGGGTGTAACTTTGTTCGAGAACTCTAGAGAAGGAGTCGAGCCTCGATTAAGAGGAGGCTGTTTGAGGGCTCCATAGGCCTCAGGGGAGGCTCTATGGTGTACTTTGTTCGAGGGGAGGATTGTTGGGAGGCAATCCCACCTTGGCTAATTTAGGGAATGATCATGGGTTTATAAGGAATACCAGGAAGCCAAAAGCAAAGCCACGAGAGCTTATGCTCAAAGTGGACAATATCATACCATTGTGGAGGTCATGATTCTTAACGGGATTAGAAGACAATAGCACGTGAATTACATACCTTGAGAGATAAATAAGATGAACTTGAAGATGAAGATTGAAGCCCATGAAATCCAATGTCATATGATATGGTCCCATCAGCTTTGAAAAGTCCAAAATTTCTCTCAGAAGTTGGCCCTGGTTTCAAATTCTCATTAAAAGTTGCAAAAATATAGGCCTTCAATACATTCTTTGGCCTGAAGGGAGTTCCTTTCTTCTTAGCAAGCCTCTTTCTGAGGTTGTAATTAAAGATCTTAGCATTATTTGCTGTTGCTGCAGCTTCGTTTTCGTCCCCACGGGAAGCCCAACCGGTCTCGGTAACTATGACTTCCATTTTATGATATCCAGCATCAGCCAATGCTGCATATGCAGCGTCGATCTGAGCATCGAGCATGTTGTCGTATCGTAGATTGGTTTTAGGATCAAAAATCCCCTCGGTTGATTCGAAAAGTGCATAGTTGATATCAATATTCTCTGGATCACTCATATAAGCTAGGAAAGGGTATGCGTTTAAACAGAAAGGTGAACCGATCTCTGAAAAAAACTCCAACAAAGGCTTCATGTACTGAACAACATTTTCTCTAAAGATACACGAAGAAGGTGGAAACGAGTTCGAAAAAACCGCCTGAGAATGCGCGGTCGTTATCTGAACAACACCATCTAAGTTAAGCTTCTTCACTGCCTTATAGATGTTCTTTGTAGCACCCAAGAGTGCTCCCCACAACTCAAGGTCACCTCCTCCTAGAACTTCATTTCCAATGGCAATCCCACAAATGTGAGTCTGAGGAAGGAATGCCTGCACATTTTCCTTCACCCAGTTCATCGCTCGTTCCTCACTCGAACTCATTTCTTTCAAAAACCCGTTCGGGAGACCGATCACCAATTCAAGCCCCGTCCCACTAAACGCGTTCAGGACCTTGTGATCAGCATCATAAATCCTAACATTCTTTATTTTTGCTGCTTTGAGAAGCGAAACAACTTCATCAGGGGAAGGAATGTTATCAGCAATCCTTCCGTAATTTATTCCATATGTTCCAGTAAATGCTTGTACTGCCATTGTCAAGGAGGCTGCAGAAATAGAACAAGACATTCTATTACAACTATCTCAAACCTCTAACTTGTAAGCACACATCAATTTACTCTCAAGACTCAACAAAAACTACAAGAATGAGAGAACACGTGAGGATGGTTGAGTCACGTTGGCTAATGATCATGGGTTTATAGGTAAGGAATACATCTCCATTGGTATGAGGCCTTTTGGGGAAGTCCAAAGCAAAGCCATGAGAGCTTATGCTCAAAGTGGACAATATCATACCATTGTGGAGAGTCCTTGTTCCTAACATGGTATCAGAGCCATGCTGTTAACTTAGCCATGTCAACAGAATCCTCAAATGTCAAACAAAGAACTTGTAAGCCTTGAAGGTATAGTCAAAAGTGACTCAAGTATCGAACAAATGGTGTACGTGGTTTGAGGACTCTAGAGAAGGAATCAAGCCTCGATTAAGGAGAGGCTGTTCGAGGGCTCCATAGGCCCTCTATAGGGTAATTTGTTCGAGGGGGAGGATTGTTGGGAGGGAGTCCCACGTTGGCTAATTTAGGAAATGATCATGGGTTTATAAGTAAGGAATACATCTCCAGAGGCCTTTTGGGGAAGCCCAAAGCAAAGTCATGAGAGCTTATGCTCAAAGTGGACAATATCATACCATTGTGGAGAGTCATGATTCCTAACATGGTATCAGAGCCATGCCCTAACTTAGCCATATCAATAGAATCCTCAAATGTCAAACAAATAAGTTGTAAGCCTCGAAGGTATAGTCAAAAGTGTCTCAAGTGTCGAACAAATGGTGTACTTTGTTCGAGGACTCTAGAGAATGAGTCAAGCCTCGATTAAGGGGAGGTTGTTCGAGGGCTCCATAGGCCCTCTATAGGGTACTTTGTTCGAGGGGAAGGATTATTGAGGATTGTTGGGAGGGAGTCCCACATTGACTAATTTAGGGAATGATCATGGGTTTATAGGTAAGGAATACATCTCCATTGGTATGAGGCCTGTTGAGGAAGCCGAAAGTAAAGTCATGAGAGCTTATGCTCAAAGTGGACAATATCATACCATTGTAGAGAGTCGTGATTCCTAACATGGTATCAGAGCCATGCCCTTAACTTAGCCATGTCAATAGAATTCTCAAATGTCGAACAAAGAAGTTGTGAGCCTCAAAGATGTAGTCAAAAGTGACTCAAGTGTCGAACAAAGGGTGTATTTTGTTCAAGGACTCCAGAGAAGGAGTCGAGCCTCGATTAAGGGGAGGCTATTCGAAGGCTCCATAGTGTACTTTGTTCAAGGGAGAGGATTGTTGGGAGGAAGTCCCACGTTGGCCAATTTAGGGAATGATGAAGAGTTTACAAGTAAGGAATACATCTCTAATGGTACGAGGCCTTTTGGGGAAACCCAAAACAAAGCCACAAGAGCTTATACTCAAAAAAGCCACAAGAGCTTATACTCAAAGTGGACAATATCGTACCATTATGAAGAGTCGTGATTCCTAACCCACGTAACAGAACTCACATAAGCATTCAAATCTAGCTCTAGAATAACCCTTTTCAATTGAAAACACACTTATAAATCAGTCAAAATAGCCCATCAAACAACAAATTGACGCAGTCTCAGTGTGAAGAACATTGCAAGTTAGAAACATATAAGTCAACTAGAAGCAATCTTTAAAGATACAATACTACCAATCGATCTAGAACAGAAGAACTGAAAAACAAAATCATTCAAGAGCTAAACAGAACCCACAACTCAAAATCCCAGAATCATCGATTAACTAAACATTAAAACGAAAATCAGAGAGAGAACATTACAGTACCAATGGCAGAGAAGACGACCCAGAAACCAGGAACCGATTGAGCACAGAACCAAAAGCGCTTCCTACCCATGAACAGAAGAAACAATCGCGAATAATCAAACCACCAAGAGATATGGAAACAGGAACTCGATCAGCTGGCTTAAATCCCAAGCGAAAAGGGCAGATTTCTCATCTCTACACTGAAACAGGACGAGGAAGAAGAAGACGAGGGCCGAACAACAATATTAGCGCAAATGGACGAAGACCCTTTTCTCTAATGGTTCAGAATCTTATGGAAACTCAGTGGGCAGAGAAGATTTTTGATGAGAGACAGAGATGAGAAAAGGGTTTTAGGAGGTCGTTTTCTGGGTCAGTAGTGACAAGGGGTTTTGATTGGGAGTTATTTGATACACAAATTTTAGTAGAAATTTCATTCTCTAAAGTCTTAACGCGTAAGTTTGAAGTATGAATGAAGATTGGCTCACCTCACGTTTGTGTGCGGCAAAAGAACACCAAAGATTGGTTGAGAAGGGAGTAAAAATTACACCTTTTGGAGGTTGTGACAAACTTGTACATTTTATTCATTAGGATTGATGGTTGTTAGGTTAAATTACTTCATGATCTTATAAAGTTTTTGAATTTTTGGTTGTGTGGATAATAAATTTTTAACCTTTTCTAACTTTTTAAATACGACCCACTCAAAATATTGAACTCAAATTCATTGTCCCGTGTCTGGTTCTGATATCATTTTTGTCCACGCGCACAGATAGAAGATATTGTCCGCTTTGATCCTATACCATTTGTAACTGCTCGTGCCCACCACTAGAAGATAATGTCTGTTTTAACTCGTTAAGTATTGCTGTCAGTTTCATAGTTTTAAAGCGTATCTGTTAGTGAGAGGTTGCCACAGTCGTAGTATGTATGAATCTAAGAAGCTAAATAGGTTAATGAACTGTTACACATAAAATTAGAGTTCATCGACCTATTAAAAACTTTTAAAATTTAGGGATATGCGAGACGTGAAATTAAAAGTTTATGACTTATTAGACGTTTTTTAAAGTTTAAAAATTTTATCGACAATTTCGTATAAATTTCACTCCTCTTTCTTCTTTTGTTGTGTTTATTTTTAAAAAATAAAGGCTAATGCATAACTATTCTTCTTGTAGTAGGTTATGATTTGTCCCTTATGCCTGTTATATTAAATTCATAACCTAATAAAGTGAATAACTGAAAGTTACAAATTCATTAAAATAATTAAATTAAATAAATGATATGAATAATTCCTTATTTAAAAGTTACGAACCTACTAAAATAAACGAGTTGTAGTCTATTAGCAAATGACGGTTAGTATCGTTTTAACGTTCAAATTTCTACTTTCATATTTGTTCTATTGGAATAAGGACTTTACTTCTCATGTTCAAAGAATGCGCGGTAGAAAAAATAAACTTGTTTTTGTAGCACTTTATATGATATTTTCTTGTGGGTCTTGCAGCATTTGATGATCCCGACATTCCTCTATAATATGGTCATATTACTCGTTTCTAAGAGTGAAAACTATCCCTACATACCAATACAAGTATTTTTAACATGCTTTATCCTCATTCTCATATTTCCTACGAAAGTTCTCAAGACGTCACTTAACAAAGAATTGCTCTTCCCTTTTAAGAGCGAGCGCTATCCCCATAGACCAACACGAGCTCTTTCAACCTGCTTTATCCTCACTCACATGTTTTCTAAGAAATGTTCTTAGTGGTCACCCAATGAGCCGTCGAAAACGAAAAGTGCACATTATTGGTATAGGTAATAATATTCCTTTCCTTTAAGCTTATTTTGTCATCTTATCCTCAAGATCACTCTCATTCGAATGTAGTCTTAGTTCATTAATGTACTCAAGACCAAGATATTATAATAGTTTAACTAATTAAGACATATACTCTCAGGCCAAGATATCGAATGTGAGATCCGACATCGGTTAGAGAGAGAAATAAAACATTGAGTGTGAAAACACGTTTTAAAAACTTTGAGGGGAAGCTCGAAAGAGAAAGCCCAAATATGGCAATATTTATTAGCAGTGAGCTTGAGTTCTGACATCAGATGTTCAAATGCTATCCTTTCACATGGTAACGTTAAACTCTAAAAAAAAACGAGCATAAAAAAAATTGTCGTCATCTTATCACCCTCCTTATGTGATTAGAAAAACCGTCTAGGGTCTCAAAAGCAATATTATTATGTAAAACACGACTTATTTCCACTTTAGTCATTGTCTAGGCCATCGCAACTACGTCCATTAAATATCATAACGGTGTCGGGTTGAATCATTCCCGATCGTTCTTTCTTTCCACTCTTGTATGTGAACAAAACCTAAAGATTTGTAACGTAGCGATCATATAATATGGTTCTAAAGGCCATAGAAAGTGTCATAAATTGCTTGATCTGACTGTAAAGGGTTTGAATGAGTTTGATGTATTAGCATCATAAAGCAAAAGCACCAAACAAAAAACGAACCCTTTTGCGCTCCCAATAACAATGGTATATTTATTGAAAGGGAATCTCTTTCTTTCTTTGCTTACACTTTTTCCCAGTGATTGCTGAGTCTATCACTCCCTTCTTTTGCACAAGCTTAGCACCAACAAGCCTTGGTTTTTGACCTAAAGGCAACCCTTTTTGTTCTTAATTATGATGGACCGAGTTTATTATACTCTCGCTTCAACTTCACCTGTCGTGTTGTGTTGTGTAGCATGTGAGATTGACGTGAGGGGGTGGGGATCACTATATTTCTGGGAGGTCACTAACGAGTTAATAATCAAGCTCACGTGTAAAACTCGAACAGTTCAAGTCCTCTTGGTTGTAATAGTTTAACCCTACTGCTAGTAAATATTGCATGCTTTGGTCCGTTACGTAAACATATACTTAGTCTGTTACGTAAACATATACTTGGTCTGTTACGTAAACATATATGATTATGTTATCATATGATATATTGTGATGCAATATGTTATGGTATGATATGTATATGATGAAATGTTATGTTAAAAGCATGAGACGTTATGTTATGTCTCCTAAATTGTGTGTATACAACCTGATATGAATGACATGAAATATAATTTCGATAGAATTATGTATGATATGAGAACTGAAGAATGAGAAACGATATGATATGAATGATGAACGATATGTGAAATGATGAAAAATAATATGATATGTACAGAACGCTAGCAGTGTTGTATTAAATGATAATGAAAACGAAAAAATGTTGGGACCTCATGCATTATGTGTGCTCATACATTGGGGGATACCCCTATTCCATCACGAGGGTACGGATGCATACATCCACGAGGCAGACGAAGTATCATTATGTTTTACATAATGTTGCTGTGATAGTTACTAATTCTAATGGGGGTCGGCAGTAGTAGAACTACCAGAGAAGGCTCGTCCGACAAAAAAAGAGGGCCCAGCGGTGTGCGAACTGTTTGGTGAGCCCATACCCGCACGTATGGGCTGTGTGTAGAGTATATGGTACACATCCAAGCTGCCCATTAGAATAATGCTGTAGGAAAAATAGACGGATATGATAAATCCCGTCATAGCATTTTGCATGTTCTTGTTGTATAACCCCCAATAGTGGGGTCACTTACGGAGTATTTCTTTAAATACTCAAGTCATATGCTACTACATTTTTCAAGTTAAGGCAAGACATTCCTATACAGCTGACGACGACATTGCAACTCGAGAGCATGACACATGCATAGAGTATTCGTATTTATTTTCTTAGACTTAGGCTAGAATAGGATATTTTAATTTAAACATTTATTTATTTTATTTAGTATTTTTTTGTGTCGTTTTAATTGTGTTTTCAAAACATGCAAGTCCATGGTTGTGTTTTAAGCTCAAGGTTATATTTTATGAAAATTTAAATGGAGTATTTCCGCATTCAGGTTATGACAGGTATACAGTAGCGACCTTAAATTAAGTGGAAAATTCAAGGTATTATATGAAAATTTAAATGGAGTATTTCCGCATTCATGTTATGACAGGTATATAGTAGCGACCTTAAATTGTAGAAAATTCCAAGTCGTTACATATTATCTTCTGAAGGAGCAACCAAACTTGTATTGAAAAAAAGCAAGAATACAATACGACAAGCACGAATACATACAAAAAGACGAACTATCGATCAGTAGGAACGATAGCCAAGTGGTTAAGGAGCTTCAAAAGGATCAAACAACGATCCTAACTAAATGGGTATGCATAAATCTCTACCTTACAAAGGTTTACATTACAACAGCATGGTACAAGCATATTAAACTTGAATGTTACAGAGATCATTATGAACTACAATTTTATTCAGTACAAGTGAACAACAAGCGATGGAACATAATAAACCTAATCTATGGATGTTTATGTCAATAATTAGATTACTACAATTAACCACATCAGAATCACAGACCAACCCAGCAATCTGAATCTGTTCAAAACACCAATGAAGAGGCTACAGCCAGAAACGTAATATCGTTTTCAAGTCTTTACCTCACCACCTTCATTCCTGCCGTTGCCATTCTCGGCGACGTCAACAATCTTGTCGGCCTCGGTATGTTTCTCACTCTTTTCTGGAGTTGCAGCTCCTTTGTCGAGTTCGATATCCTGTTGAGTAGGTTTTTGATTCTCCTCTGGCACGTTTTTGTTTTCGTCAGATATAAGGGAACCGGGTTCGGTAGCTTCACCCAGATTACCATCAGGCTTCTTCTGAACTTGTGGTTCCTCAATGGCTTCCTCTTGCTTTGCAACCTCCAGATTCTCATTGAGGTTTAATTTGGAGCTTTCAGGTTCCTTCTCATTGAGATCTTTGTCCAATTTTTCTTGTTCTGATTCACTAGCTATCTTATGTTCTTGTTTTTCAGCATCCACAGCTTCATCTTTTGTTACCTTTTCATCTTTTACCGCAGCATCAACCATTCTCTCATGTTTTTCACCGTCTTGGTCGTCAATTTCTTTCTTCTCCTCCAAAACTTCTGGTTCAGCTTCTGTTTCTTTAATATCTTTCTTCGACACAGAAGATCTTCTTCTCTTGGGATGCTCACGTTCGACCGGTGGAGTCACTTTACTCTTTTCGCTTATCCTTGCTGACCTCCTTGGCGTCTCGCCCGTGCTCCAATCAAATTCAGCAGCTGCCGGGCTACCGGGGTGTGCCTTCAGGTACTGATCCAACTTCCTTTTGTGGTTGATCTCCTCCCCTGTAGGAGTTATGAAGATGACCTCATGTTTCCTAGGGGATTTACCTTGCTTGGGAAAAAACTGCCAAATATTCATATCATTCAATCAGATGCAACCAATAAACCAGCAACCCAGATCTTAATTCTTTTGTTTAGAGCTGTTAGGTAGTGAGTAAAGAACAATCAATAAAGTATAAATGTTCATCTCGATTGGTGAAAAAATACATCCAAATAGATCCAGAAAACAAGCAGCCACTCCAACCCAATGAAGCCAACCCAATGAAGATGATCAAAGATCTCTCTTCTTGTCATGAATTACAGTACTTGAAAAAATATAAATCTAAAAGTACATTCTCTTTCATACCCAAGAAAGTCCCTACCACCCTCTCATACAAAATTCCACCATGAAATCTTCATCTTCTCTTTACTATGAAACCCGTACAGCTGCTTAGACGAAAACGAAAACACCAGCTAACACCGAGCATATTAAAGACTAACCAGACACATAAATTTGCCAAAACAGACTGCATTGGTAGGAGTTCCTTATGTTGTCACGATCGGTATCGAGGGCTATTGAGTTTCTGTATAAGATTAAAAAGAATTAACCTTCCCAAGATCAAGAAGCCAGAAGAAAAATCTCACGAATTTGAGAATATTCTAAATTTCATAACCTTACAAGACACCTCCTCTTGGCTAAAGGTCTGATCGGTTGTCCAGAAACGATGCTCGGCCCTTCTGGTAGACCATCTGCTATCAGGCTGCCTACTCAGAGCTAAAGTCTGTCTGTTCTTTTTTTCATCACTAACCATTCATCCACCTTCATCTGAAAAAGATCTAATGAAATGAATACCCTGGCAAGAGACTTTTATCATTTCCAAAAGAAAATAAGGCAAGAGTACAAAGTGGCCAGCCATTTCAGATGCTATCCATTCTCTAGTAGGAAAACTATCTTTCCTTCCTCTGCCTTCCCTAGAACAAACTACCAATTCCTGTCATGTACCTCACTTCTCAGCTCAGGCTTCCCGATCCTCTTCGGAAATTCGCCTTCACACGGTTGTTTGTAGAAGAACTTCAAGCTGCGTTGATCTGTACAATTTTTTAATCATTGGCCCAATACGTATGAAGGCCATTTTTTAATGTAAAATACAATTATCATCGGTTGCCTTTAATATATGGGATTGTAACCATATCATCAAGAGAAGCTTGGATGGAGACCTGAACACAAGTCTCCTCTTCCTTGGTTTGATCGCATTAATTCTGCAGTTTTGTAGGCTTCTTCTTGGTGCATTTCACTCCTTTATGGAGTTTGTATCCTTCGAGCAATAGTCTCTTTTCATTACATCAACGAAAAGTTTTGTTTCTTGTTCAAAAGAAGAAACCGACAATAAGGCATTGCTCTTGCGTGCGTATAGAAATCTTTGACCTATACCATTCCTTTCTGCAAGGAATGGCTTTGAGAAGTCTGGTAAGGCAACCAGAAGCACATTGATCTTAGTGTGTTTGAGACATCGAAAGCTTTCCCTAGCCTTAGGATTCGACTCATTATCACTTTTAACTGTTGGGAGAAGGCAGTCAAACCATAAACGGCCACAGATTTTCAGTGGAAACATGTAAGCCTGGTTGCAGGGAGATGACCAGTTCAACTTATTTTGGATTTTACAGCCATGAACATCCACCTTACTCGGACACCATATCATCTACAAATTCAATCTGAGGCAGTGAAAAGGTGCACTTCTTGACATTAGCCACCAGATTATCGATCAAAACGTCCAAAACAGAGAACAAAGTTGGGCTAGTAACCCTGAGCCGTTGACAAGTATGACCTCAATAAACACTAGAATAATTTTGGGAAGGAAAAATCCGAATATATCCATGAGATATTTAAGAGATGATTGGTCATTGGTCAAGCCAAACATCATGATCCAAAAAGAGTGGCAGATTGGGGCACAAATCAATAGAAATGACGTTCAAATCAACTTATATCCATTATTCATACTATGTTGAGATAATATGTTTGGCACTAATTTATTTAGAAAATATAACTTCATAAATATATATTCTTTATCTAAATTGGTTTAGAAAAGAAGATGACCATATATAGAAGCAAAGGAAGAGAATCATGATTTAAAAAATTCAATTAAAAAATTCAAAATCTTGAGTTTTTTTCTTTTTCTTTCTGTTATTAGAATTATAGTTTCTTTTGTGTATTTGAAGAAAATTTAAATAATTTCTTTTAAAAACTTCAAAAATAATTTTATCCATTTTGAACCAAGACTCATGTTCTTATGTCTACTCAATAGTCTGGTTCGTGATGTTTCCTCGAAAACCTTTGGTGATTAACCCAATTTTGGATTCAGTGAAGGCCTTGTTGCCATCAATATCAAGCAATTGCATTACCTTCCATGTGTAACACTTCACCTTCGAGGTTCCACCTTGTTTGGAGAAGAATCATTCAACTCCAATTCTTGAATTCCAGCTTTTCTTATCAATCTCATTCGACGTCTTGTACATACTTTGTTTCATAATTCCTCCGAGGATATATTGTGCGTAGGAGTGTGGCCGAGAATCTGCACCACCTTTTGTGGAGCTATGATTTTTCCTTTCAGTTTGGAGCTATTTCTTTGAGACATTTGATTTCCGTTCATCCCAGCGTAAGGGTTGTAACTCCATGATTTTGGAGTTGCTACTTATCATTAGCCCCTCGGTAAGAAAAAGGGTTTTTTTGAGTGTGTGATTTTATGAAGCTTTTGAAGAGGGAGAGGGTTCGAGAAGACTTCGATTAATGTATGGTTCTTGTTAGGTTCCATGAATCATTGGGCATTGATGGTTAAGACCTTTTGATATTTTCATTAGTCTTATTTTCTTTAGTCTTATTTTCTTGACTAAAGCCCTTTTATAGCTTGACTCCTTTTATTTGGGCTTTGTTTTTGTATGACATTGTATTCTTTCATTCATTCTCAACGAAAGCTCAATTTTTATCAAAACCCATTCCTCCAAGGACATATCCAACTGCCCCGTCGGCTCTTCAATGTATGTTTATCTCGCCATCGATAGGAGCTTTCCTTTTCCTTAAAAAAGGTTCCCATCCGTACACGATGAACTCTAAACTTCTCCCCATTGATAAAACAAACTTCTTTCTAATCATCTCATATCTATCTCTGTGGATTTTGGCACACAGTTCACCCGTTTCTCCATTGCATAAGTCAAGAGGTCATGTTTAAACTTGATTTTCAAGGTTGAACTTGTAACAGCCCACCACCGCTAGCAGATATTATACTCTTTGAGCTTCCCCTCAAGGTTTTTAAAATGTGTATGTTTTCACGCCTTTATAAAGAATGATTCGTTCCCTTTCCAACTGATATAAGATCTCACAATCCACCCCCTTTCGGAGCCTAGCGTCCTCGCTGGCACTTGTTCCCCTCTCCGATCGATGTAGGACCCCCAATCCACCCCCCTTCGGGGCCCAGCGTCATCGTTGGCACACTGCCTAGTGTCCACCCCCCTTCGGGTTTAAGCCTCCTCACTAGCACACGGTGTCTGGCTCTGATACCATTTGTAACAGTCCAAGCCTACCACTAGCAGATGTTGTCCTCTTTGGGCTTTCCCTTTTGAGTTTTCGCTCAAGGTTTGAAACGAGTCTGTTTACACACCCTTATAAAGAATACTTCGTTCCCCTTTCCAACCGATATGGGATCTCACGGAACTAGTCTGGTCCCACCATGGTAAAGACTTTTATTGTTTCTAGAAGAAAATGTAAGGTAAGAGTATAAAAGAGGGAGCTGGTCCAAGGATTGTTGACCCTGCCTCCGACCAGAACTCTCCCGGTGGCAATACACTCGACTTGGCTTTCCTCCATCCTTCCCAAATCTATTTAGTTCTATACCAACTCCCTAATTTATCCCATTGACCAACTATGACGGGCTCCCACATCCAACTGTTGAACTTCACTCCGGTCACCTTGCTTATGTCTTCCTCTTCTTTCCATAAGTATCGAGTTTTGCTGGACAATCGAACTTATTTGATAACGATAATATATTTTGATTTAGATATTACTCAAAATGACAGGAAATTTCATATGATCACTGTAACAGCCCAAACCCACCGCTAGGAGATATTGTCCACTTTGACCCTTTATGTATCGTCATCAGCCTCACGATTTTAAAACACATCTGCTAGGGAGACGTTTCCACACCATTATAAGGAATGTTTTGTTCCCCTCTACAACCAATCCGACGCCTTCTACAAATATATGTTTTGAACTACTTGAAAGCAACATGAAAGCAACAGGATCAGGTCTTAAACACATACTAGAATAGAACAGAAGTTACAGATTGATTCATACGTACAACTAACAAAACTCATTAAGGACCTTCCTACAATAAAGGAAGTATATTAGACGCCTATCAAATCAACCAACGTGTCAACCATTCCAGACCTCACCGATAAATTTACCATATCTAATGATAAAATCCCAAGTAGTTTCAGTTCCTCAAGACAAAAATATGCCTAAAATCTCATTTTCCCCTCTATTTCGTCTTGAATCCATAAGCCCCTTTTATGTCCCTCCTTCCATAATAGAGCCAAACATCTACAGCTTACCCAAAAAAAAAAAAAAAAAAGACAAGCTCTATAAGCCAAGAATCAAGTTTGATCATAGCACAACCACAACTTATATATAAAAACAACTATAGATATCCAATATCTAAACGTTATCCTTAGACGTTCCTACAACGGCCCAAGCCCACAGCAAGTAGATATTGTCCTCTTTGGGCTTTCCCTTTTAGGCTTCCTCTCAAGGTTTTAAAACGCGTCTACTAGGGAGAGGTTTCCACACTCTTATAAAGAATATTTCGTTCTCCTCCCCAACCGATGTGGGATCTCACAATCCACCCCCCTTCGGGGCCCAACGTCCTCACTGACACTCGTTCCGTTCTCCAATCGATGTGAGATCCCCAGCGTCCTTGGCGGCACACCGCCTGGTGTCCACCCCCTTCGAAACTTACTCTCCTAGCTAGCACATCGCCCGGTGTCTGGTTCTGATATCATTTGTAACAGCCCAAACCCACCGCTAGCAGATATTATCAGCCTCACGATTTTAAAACGCGTCTACTAAGGAGTGGTTTCCCCACTCTTATAAAGACCAATGTGAGATCTCACATTTAAATTGTGAAAAATCCAAGCAAATAAATTTCAGCAGCTGGTATTGAGTGCACAATATAGTCAACTGATTGAATAGAAAATATGCACACACACATGTATATCCTCACTTGTTGGAGCAAGGCAAATCCAGGCAGAGCACGCACTGTTCAATAATTTTTATTTATTAACATCATTATCAATGTTAGCAGCCCTAATCCTCCCCAGATAACATAATCGCTCACTATCTCTCACACCAGAAAGGAGAAGGGAACAAAAATTAGTCCACAGCTCCAAGTAATTCAAGCAAAAAAAAAAATCATCATAACACAAATTGAACTCATCACGAAGCAGCATAGCGACGTCAAAGCGATGTCAAAGCAAAGTCAAATAGAAACTAGAGACCAACAATTTCCAGAGATTTCTGTCGAAGAAGACTGGAAATCCAAGCGAAAAGATAGATTAAGCAAGAAATTCGATAATTCAACCTTCCAGAAAAAACCCTAGATACTACAAGCAGTGAATTCTCACCAAAGAAACCCTAAAATCCAGGAACAACAAAATCCGAGTTGAGAATTGAGCGGTAAAAGCAAAATTGAGCAAGAAAATAAGCAATTCAACAAGAACTGAAGATCCAGAAAAGGAATCGAAGTGAGATGAACACCTTTTTCTTCCAGCCAGGAGGGGCAGGGAGTTCGAAGGACAGAACCTCCTCATTCGAAGTGTCTTTCTCCACTGATTCCGCCATTTATGACCTAACCACAAGAAGCAATGATGATAAAATTCACTAAAAATAGCTCCCGAACAAAGAACTTCTCGAAAAAGGTAGAGAAAATAATGGGTTACTTGGATTCGCGATTTGGCGTTTCTGGGTTTCTTCCTTAGCTGCACACAACTAAAACAGAGGAGAGAAATGGATTTACAGCGACAAATTTAGTAATGACGGCGATTGCCCTTCGTTTTATATTCAAGCTTCTTTCTCTCTCCTCTCTCTCTCTGTGAGTGAGAAATCCAGAATGTCCAGCTCAGCACTTGGAAATTTGACGGTGCGCTCTACCGCCGCCACCTGTCAAATTCCTTGCTTCTTAATACTTGGCGGTTGCCTTTTAATACACATTTTCCCTCCATTGACTTTAACCAATATTTTCTTTTAACTTTTTTTTAAGTCTCCAAAGCTATCTCCACCATTTTTCCCTTCTATACCTTCTAAAAATTCGGCCTCAAACATTTTCAATAAAATTCTAGAAATTTACTAAGAACACTTACGTACCTGTTGGACTGGAGCGTTACATACACATAACATAGACATGTCACATAGACATGGACATGTTGGGCTCGAGCGTTACATACTTGTTGGGCTCGAGTGTTACATACACATAACATAGGCATGCCACATGGACTTGTGGAACATCAATCATTTCAGTCAAGTTAACCCATTTTCCATAATTAGTCGATCCTAAAAGATTGCGCTCCACCTCAGCTAAGCTAAGTTGAGTCCGTCATAATGCATCATAATCATGATATTAATATGGTTAATTGTCACCTTATGATCATGATAATATACATCGATACAATTCATG